GTGGCTTGGGCCGCGGATTCAGTGCGCGTCACACCGGGTGGGTGCATAGGGCCAGGGCCATCGGGATGGGGAGCAGGCCTGCCTGGAGGGCCGGGCTTGTCCGAGGTCTCATGCCTGCGCCGTCTCCTTGTCCCGGGAGCAGCAGAGAGGGAAAACACCGGCGCTCTTTGCCCACGCTGCCCAGCAACCACGTCTTGCCTCTCGCCCCCGCGCCAGACTCGGCTTGAGGGGCAATGCGGAAAGTAAAGAAAAATAAAGAAAAAAGGGCGGGCAATGAGGAAGCAGCCAGTGGGACTGGGGGAGTAGAGCGGGCAGGGGCCCTGTGCCTTGCCGGGCCTCCTCCTCTTTCCGTCTCTCCAGCTCTTCCCGCAAAGGGAAAATGAGCAAAGAGGGAAAGACTGAAAGAGCGTCGAGGAAAAGCGCTCCGGGCATCTCCGGTTCGGATCTCTTCCTGGCTCGCGAAGACCCGGCAAAAGTGGCGTGAGTTAGCTCGCTACGCTCTGGGGAAAGGTGGGGGAAGGCCGAGGACAGGGCGGCGCCCCTCCGCTGGTGACCGACGGGACCGGGGCTGGGAGCGGAGTGAGCCGGGACACACACCTGTTCTGCTAACCGCGCCGGGTGCGGCGGCTCGGCGGCGGTGGCGCAGAGGGCAAAACCCTCCCTTCGGCTCCCCACACCCGCTGTCCCGGAACGCGGCAGCCCCACACTCGCCCGCATTTGCACGAAAGTAGAGTGGAGGAGCCCGTTGCTGCCCGCTGAAGCGGCGACGAGACCCTGGTGACCCTCGGGGCGGGGCTGTTTAGGGGCTCCAGGTCCTTGGACTTTGCTCGAAGGCAGAGTGCTTGGAGACCCTGTCCCGAGGCCTTGCGCGGCTGCAGACCAGAGCCCCTTGGGCTTCTTTGCTTTTGCGAAACCGGCACCTTGGTTCCCCAAAGTTAAAGCAAATTGTTTCCATGCGGAGGTTGTTGGGCTGTAAAGTATTCTTTGTACAAAGGCAACCAAGAGCTGGAGAGAGAAGTCAGGCCAACGAGTGGTGGGTGGGCTCGGCTGAATGTTGGCCCCAAGTTTATGTAGGCTTCGCCTTCATCTCGTCTTTCCCCGTTTTCCCCAAAAGAGATGGTTTTTCTGGGTCATGACTCTTCCCGGCTGAATTGTGCACCCGCTATCTCAGCGGGCATCCCCGCGGCTCCGCACAATCCGACCGGTCCGGTTGTCTTGGATTCGCAACCCTTAGCCCAAGCAGGGCCTGGGTCCTGATCCAAATGTGGGGCTGATACCCAGCCTTGTCTGAACCTTAGGCGTCGGCCATAGCCTGAGAACCGTATTAGCCTTATGCTCCCAGAGTTTTCGCATGTGGTGGTAAAATTTCTGTTAGGGCGGTGTTTCCAAATACCCCCTGGGCATTTGGTGTGCGGGGTTGGGGCGGGGGGGGGGAGCGAGTCTCTTTAAGCGAAGTCTGTGAACTTAAAAAAAAAAAAAATCTTTCCTGCGTTCTTCACAACCCCCAACTACTCTGGCCTCACTTTCCATTGTTCTTTGATTTTTAAGTTGCCTGTTAATTTTTTAAAAGTTTATTTATGCAAAGGAAAAAATATCGTTTAATTTGTTCTATATTTTAATTCCTGGCTTTTGGAAACGGTTCAGAGACCACAAAAATGTCACCTGTTGTTATAAGCAGAGGAGTGTTGTGTGTGCATTTTAATTGCCAGCAGAGTCGTAGTTTGGTGGGCGCCCTGAGCTCGGCTCCAGGAGAGAGCCCTTTGCAGCTTGCTTTGTGGCAGTCATTTGCAAGTGGGTTTGGCTCCCAACAGCAGCAGCAGCAGCAGCAGCAGCAACAGCAGCAGCAGCAGTAGCAGCAACAGCAACAGCAGCAACACGGCTTCTTCCTACGCTGATCCTGGGCGAGGGTCAGGAAGCCCAGACCCTGGAAAAGGGTGGGAGATAGCCCACTCTCTGGGACTTTCTGGCTTGCGTTTTTTTCTGTGCGAAAGTGGTTAGTTCGCGCTGGAGAGCGCGGAGCGCTGCGCATCAGCCCAGTCTCAGACATTTTCACGTTCCAAATGCCGGCTTCTTCGTTTCATTTGTCTTGGTTCTGGCATGTTTAACCACGCAATTAGTAATCTCACTAATTATTCAGTTAGCTGGCGTCTTGTAATCACTTTAAACCAGGGTCGGGTGTGTGATTTAAGAAACAAACTCCCACACACAGAGAACTGAACCAAAACCCATCACGTCAAGGATTTGAGATTTTTAAAACTCAATATTTGTTGGTCCCTCTGTCCAACCTCACTGCCTGCCAGACAATTTATTTAGCTTCGTGGATTGATCCCTCCTCCTTGTTTAGTTAATTCAACAAAGACTTTTTGCAATCTGTTTGGAGTTTGTCTGATGCCGTGGAAAAGTAGCTGATGATTTATTTGGTTGCTTTTCGATTTCTGTCTTCAGCCCTTCTTTCTCCTCCTTTCAGCGGGGATGTCAGCTGTTATTACTTCCTATTGATCCCTTTGCAAAGTGAGAAGTGAACTAAAATTAATGTCAATTCCACTGCTCGGATCAATAGCTGGAGTTATTTTAATCTGGATTTGCACGAAGTGCTAAATTAAAAAAAATCAGCATAGAGGCAGAAAAGTAACAGTTACTTACTTTCCCTCTGCCCGGTTCTTTACAGTCACCCAAATGCTCCATCAAGCTGATTATCTTACAATCCATATTTTTTTTAATTAAGAGGGTCAGTTAGTTTTCTTATTTTGGGTTCTGTGTTTAAACCCATGACATTTTGACATTGGGAGTGTATTAACTATAGATTTTCATAATGACTGTGGTCTGCTGAAGCCTCATCTATACAAGTTGTTAATGTGAGGAGGGGGGAGAAAGAAAAGAGAAAAGAAAAAACACCCCTCCTCCCCCTCAGAGACCAACGCCCACACAGTGGAGTAAAAGAGATGTGGCCTGGAAAAATATTGTTGATTTATTTTCGGTATAATGAAGTTTTCAAATGAATAAGCAGGTTTGAGTGATTCACTGTGTTCTATTGGAGTGTCCGGTGCTGTCACCAGATTATTAATTTATGAAACTCATTTAATATAATGAGGTGATCCAGGAAGCAAAAATAGAAAGTGAATCCTGGGGGTAGTTATTTTGGGGAAGAAACATTTTTGCCAGACCCCCAGTGTAATTAAGTTTGTCCTTTTCTCCAGCCAGCTTCACATACTATGGTTTGTGGATAGACTTGTAGTTATTTATTTCGGTTGTGAAGAGCTGCTTAGAACCCTTGGAACCCCCCTAGATCCACTTTCAGAGCATCCATGTTGTATGACCATTAATCTGACTTGAAAACAGCCAAGAACCGGATTCCCAGACTTGTCAGGCTAACTGGCTGTCCTTGGCAGATCATTCCCTGCACTGCTATAACTTGACAGGAAAGTTATTTAAAATTTGGAAGAGAGAAAAATCCGTTAATGTGAGATACATAATCTGGTAATTTAGCAATGATGTCTATAAGGAAAGATGCCAAATGAGGAAGCAGTCTGATGGTGTCCACTCATCTTCCCAATTAATAACAGTCATTGACACGTCTGCTACAGGATGGGAGAAGGAAATACTCTCTTTGCACTGCATTAAGCGGAGAGGATTCATCTGCAGTTTAACTGAGGATTCTCTATTTGAGGGAATACCAAAGAGACTCCATTATGGAAGTGGGTTTTTAAAGGGGGGAGTCAGTTTTATTTCTGTCTCTCAATTTAAAGGTTATTCTTTGTAGCAGGTGGTGATTTGGGGTTACACTTTGAGTTTCCTTCAGTTTCTACTTAGTGTATATATTTTTGAAGCTAATAAGTCTATCTTTTCCTGGCTTTTGATATATAGCCCTTTTCCCCAACCCCCACTCAATATAAATTCTGAAACCCAATCAGTGGCTATGAAAACTACAACCTAAATTTACAAGGTAAACCAAAAGAAGTCTGTTTGAACTCCAGTTTGTTCTAGGGGGCCTTTATTGGACATCAACTCTGACCAGGCCAATAAGCAGAGCAAAATAAGTCAGAAATTTTGTTAACATTTTACTCTAAATGTTAATGGCAAATCCAAGGCAGTTTACAAATCTACTTAGGAGTGAGTGCATTAGTAACTAAAAAAATTACCAATCCTTTCTTTGCTGCCCCTGGAAGACAAACGCTTGTGGAGAGCATATGCCAAAGGCACCCATTATGTTTTTAAATATTGTTAGAGACGCCAGGCATTTTATTGATGAAGGTTTTGTTCCTTCTCAGAAAAGAGAAATAGGAAGGCTGTGTGATTTGAGAAGGGTGTGCATCAAAAATGATGTTGCTGCTATGATGTTGCTACTTCTTTCTGGAAACAGTCTTAGATGATACACAGAGATATATGTTTATGTACATGCCAATGGATATTATCAAGCCACATGTACAGTTTGTACCCACTAATCTGTACAGATGTTCCTGGTCTAGGTGTGCTTGATATAAGGGTTTTTCAGTATCTGGGCATTGTTAGGGAAGATAAAGAGAGGATGGAGATGTGAGAAATCATAAGCAGAACCTAGCTTCTGAACATCAGGCCTGCCATGAGTAGGGTATGTGGTTGAAGCCCTTTTAAAATATAGACCCCCCCCCAATCTACTGGGTGACTTGGCCTTCCAAAGCTCATTTGCTCAGGGAATATTGTATTTGGAGGTTTTATGATTTTTTTTCTTTCCTGGGCTCAGGCGCATTTCACCCGGAACGTGTAGGGACCAAAGTCAGCTACGCGTACATCACAGTAAGTTGTCTATTGATTTTCCTGAATGAAAATGGTCTGCTGCTGCTGCCCACTGGCTCCTAAAGCCTGTGGTGTCTCTTGCCCGAGCATCTGTAAGCCAGAAGGATGGTGTTTCGATCACTTGGGGTTTCCCTTTTTTTCCTCCCCCTGACTTTCCTCCTCCCTCTTTTTTTCTCTTTGCTGTTTCTGCAGGTCTTAGAAGGGCATGATTCCCCAGTAATATTCCCTGCCCTGATCCAAGGTGCCGCTTGGCCTCCCTCCCAGGGAAGACTGCTTCTTGTGTGACACCAGCCATTGAAAGAGACTCCGATGGACTTACACCGGGCAGCCTTCAAGATGGAGAACTCATCCTACCTTCCCAACCCTCTGGCATCCCCAGCATTGATGGTCCTGGCGTCCACGGCTGAGGCCAGCCGGGATGCTTCCATTCCTTGTCAGCAGCCACGACCCTTTGGTGTACCTGTCTCAGTAGACAAGGATGTGCATATTCCGTTCACCAATGGTTCCTACACCTTTGCCTCTATGTACCATCGGCAAGGTGGAGTGCCAGGCACTTTTGCCAATCGTGATTTCCCCCCTTCCTTACTACATCTGCACCCCCAGTTTGCTCCCCCAAATCTAGATTGCACCCCAATCAGTATGCTGAATCATAGTGGTGTGGGGGCTTTCCGTCCCTTTGCTTCCACTGAGGACCGGGAGAGCTATCAGTCAGCCTTTACACCGGCCAAGCGACTTAAGAACTGCCATGACACAGAGTCTCCCCACCTGCGCTTCTCAGATGCAGATGGCAAGGAATATGACTTTGGGACACAGCTGCCATCTAGTTCCCCCGGTTCACTTAAGGTTGATGACACTGGGAAGAAGATTTTTGCGGTCTCTGGCCTCATTTCTGATCGGGAAGCCTCATCTAGCCCAGAGGATCGGAATGACAGATGTAAGTACTTTGGTTGGAGCCCTCCCTCGCCCCCAGTTAGCCCTGCCTCCCAGTAGTGTTCAACAGGTCGGCGGCATTGTGCATGCTCCTAGTGACGGGAAGGGTCAACCACTTCCCTTGCGATAGCTATGGAGTGCTAACATTTATTTGTCTCTCACCAATGAGCACTGATAGTTCTTATAGAAAGTGTTTTTATGAAAGTAGCCAGAGGCAGATTGGCCTCGGCACTGCTTTATCTCCTGGATCTGGCTTGCTTCTTCTGGGGATTGTGGAATGAAGAGGGTGCCATATATACACTGGAGTGAAGGTCATTTCATTCGAAAGTGTAGGTTCCCAGGGAATTTGGGAGGCCTGAAAAACTTGTCCATCCTTCCTCTTTTTGCTGGTCTCATTATGGCTCTCTGATCGCAGTATTATTTTTTAGCTTTTCCATTGTATCATAGCCAGCAGACTCCACGTGATTTTATTTTCACAACTCTCAGCCCTTGTCCACATCAGGCTATTTTTCAGAGAAGGACAAAGGTGTCGTCAATCACCACAAAGCATTTCAAACAGCTGTGTTTTCCTTGCGCTCGCAAAGCTGGAAAGCCGACCTCTCTTGGGATTTGACAGGTTTGCTGGACGCTTATCCTGGGGCTCACTTTTAGGACTAGACACGGTTGACCTGTGTGACTGCTCCATAGTTGATGTTCACAGCTATTATTAATTTCTGCTTAGAAAATGGCTTTTCTCATGTCCTCCAAGAACCTTGTTGGGCTCTGGCTACACTCATATTGTTGAAACTACAGCTTTATTTGGAACTTGTAGACTAGAGTGCTGAACCTTGCAATCTTCTGCTCTGATATAATCAGAAATTAATTGTGTTTTGAAGCTTTTGGGCTGTGGGTAGACAGAGCAGTTTTCTTCAAGCCTGGTGAGAATTTATGAACTGAGGGTGTTTTCCCACCCAACCCTTTGTTCTGAGATTTGCTTCATTTTATTTTCTTAAGAAAACTACATCTGAGGTTTGCTTTCCCCTCTTCTTTATTTTTTTGTACTCCTGTCCTCTCTATAACCACCAACACGAATACCATTTTTTTCTCTTCTCTTTATGATGCCGAGGAGAGTAATAGAGACATTGCAGCTCTCTCCCCTGTCGGCACTGCTTCCTCAGGCTGTCTCCTTGAATTAGGCACTGTGTTAACTTTCCTGCGCTAAAAGGCATCTGCCTAAACCCAGCGTACCTTTTCAATAAAAGTCATCATAAAATCAACCTGCCTTGTAAATCCATCGCTCTTTGGTTTTGAAATATGTTGCTAGTGTGTCTTTTATGTCAGCGTCTGTAAGCCAGAGACCTCCCCACTTAAGGGAGAAGGCTGCTACATGACAACACAACTGCTAGTGTGGTTCTCACACTTGGGCTTTCGAGCCTTTCTGTTGACTTTCTGTGTATTTTGATCCTGCTTCTGAATATACCTGCTGGACAGGTGTTGGTATTATGTTGATTTGTTTTTGTTTTATTTTCTTTTACTTTTTGTTTGTTAACGGGATGTGTAAGTGATCAAAGCTAGCTATAATCTGACCTCTGGCTAAAAGTGCCCTGGGTTAGGGTTCTGACCCTTTTTTCCTCCAAGTCCAAGTTGAAAATGAAATCTTCTCAAAACAAATATGCTACAAAGTAACATCTAGAGATCATGATTCCTTTCTTCTCACCTAACAGATCCAGCTTGTCTCCATTTGCTGTCTTTTTAGCCCAAACCCGTGTCAGACTCTCAGAGCAGGCAGAAGCTTGTTAGTCAAGTCAGAACTCATAGCTGTGGATATCCATTCCCCTCCGAGTGTCAAAGCCATAACTCTTCTGTTTGCCTGGTTTGCATTGTGTGGTGGTGCCATTCCCCCATGGAGATGGATCCCTCACACAGGAATACGCCTGGGTGGAGAAAAATTAAATGAATCTGTCTCCCAAAGTGAAATGGAATTCTGACCTTGAAATTAATGAGATTCTGATCGGAAGGGTGGGGAAACTTCTTTATTTCAAATTGTCATGTTATATAAATTGGAGTTCCTTCCCTTTTTATTTGTTTAAAATATGCTTCCCTTATGGAGTACTTTGTGTTCTCCTTTTCTTGGGTACAGACATTATACCTATGGGAGTATCTATGAGTGCAGGCTGTTTGTACACACCCACATTATTAGCTAGAGTTGCATTTGTGACTAATCTTTAACCAGACACAAAGGTGCCAAGTGAAGAGGAGACTGTCACCCTGTGCTAGTCCTGGATTCGTCCTCCTTTTTCATTTCTTGCCTTAGATTGGATAGCAGCCTTTGAAGGGTTGGACTAGGCAACATCTGTGCTTTTGATTTTTGAGTTTTTGGAAGGCAAGAGAAACATTTCCTGCAAGGAAGGGTTGAAGAAGCACTATGACAAAGTCAGTAGCAACCTTCTTGGCTCTTGTCATATGCCAACGTGTGTCGGAATATTTATGGTCTGTTTTATGTAAATACATATTTAAGGGCCGTTAGAAGGCCTGATTATTCCCACTAGATGCCTTTCAGGTCCTCCCTACAGAACCGTTTTGAAATAAGTAATATTTCTCAGATAATCGAGTGACAGTATACAAGACTGCTTCCAAAGGGAGAAAGGAGCTTCAGGGGCAGATGGGACAGTGATGGGGGATGGGGAGGGGGGAAGAGAGGAGAAACCGTGGAGGATACAGTGCTTTTCCCAGGATTGCCAAAATGAATCATGTATAATTTAGGTTTTTTATTATTAAAATCTAGAATTAATTTCTGATGGTTGATTTATTTTTCAGTTCTTTTTATATAAATAAAATGTTTTCATAAAATGTAAGAAATGTTTTAATTAAAAAATGACAGTAAAACTCTAAGTAAGTGTTTAGTTTTAGAGCTTTGTTGGGAATGGGGGGGGATGTGAAAATGGGGGTATGTACGTCCTTCCTCAGAGTACAAGTTTTATGACTTGAGTTTTAGGTCACTGCAAAATCAGTTTTATAATGGAAACACTGACAGCTTTTACTGTTGCAGCCACCCCCTGCTCACACACTACATCCATATGCAGATATGTCCACATGTGAATGAACGCCTTTTAAGAGGGTCCTGCAGGCATGGTGTAATACACAAGCACTGATTCCTTAATTCTGGGTACTGATAGGCAGAATTTCTTTTGTGATCAAACATGCATTTTTTGAAGATGAAATATAGCTATTTGGATAAAATATCCTCTCTCCAGTAGATGATTCCAGTTTGTTTGCCTTTCCATCTACCTGGCATCACAGGTGATCCTGAGGTAGGTGTTGGGCTCTAAGGAACAGGAAGCCTTTGCTCTACAGGACTGACTTATTTGCCCTGGAAAAGGGGAGAAGTGTTTTGTGAGGAGCCCTTCATGGAGGATACATAATTCCCCAGGAAGAGGACTGAGGTAACTCCAGTTTATTGTCACTCCCTGAACCAGTCCCCAAGGTTTCTTGTCCAGGGAAAGGATGCTGAAATTTATGGACCAATTACAGATAGTCCTTATTGTGTCTTACATATGAAGCATCTACAGATATGTTTCCCAGGGCCTTTAAAATAAACATTCCTCATTAAGGAAACTTTACAACAAAAGAGAAGGTAAGTACTATCTGCTGCCTTGTGCTGTAATGCATACACTTATTACCCCCTCAACACTCTGGCTTTGTCATGTGCGTCTCCTGATGGTTCTCTTTAGATCTCCCCTGTGCCCAGACTCCTGCTGGGTGACACAAGTCTTTGGCCAGCCCGCTATCCATTCAGCCCAAATTGGAGTTGGCTAGTATGTGTGCTCACCTCAGGACTGAGAAGGCCCAGAACTGTCCCCATGGAGCAGGGACTGGCCTGCCTTCTGGCTCACCCCAGGGAGGGGCACTGGGCACTGACCATAAGTGGCTTTACTTGGCCCTCTTCCTTGGCCCTTCCTCTGGTCAGGCAGATTCACAGGTAGGTAGGAAAGCTGATGGCTCCAAACAATTCCTGGATATTTTGCTTTGCTCTCATCTTTGATATATTTGAAAAACTATTCTCAGGTCCCAAAAGCCCTGAGTAGGAGATGGTATCTTGTACTCTGAGGTGTATCTTTATAAAGGCATGTTATCATTGAAGACCCTATGTTCTGAGAATACACTGAGCTCTCAGGCCAAGGACAGCCTGAAATGAGGAGGGCTGGCTGACATCATGGGGGTGATGTTAGTGGACTACCTTCCAAGGGCTCTGGGACTGGATGGGCAGAGATGTTAGTCTGGGGTGTGGAGAATGTTTGGAGGCAGTTCCAAGGTCACCAGGCGCCACCTCTGGATTGCAGCTGAAGCAGATGAACAGTGTGAAAGGGTCAGCAAATCATCAGAGGAGAGGGGTCAGATGGTTCCCTCTGTCCTGACTGCCCAGACCTAGCCCAGCTCAGCTGCTCCCCTGCTCTCCCCCCTTTCTCCCCGGGGGCAAGAACTCCTGTGATGTGTGTGGTTTCTGGTTGTTCACTCCCAACACAGTCATGGAGACTCCTTTTCATGCTGCTGGGTTTAATTGTCTTGTTGGGATAAAGAAATGTTTGCACAGCTAAAGTGGGGCCGGGCTGGACGGGAGCGGTCCCTGATGGCTGCAGAGCCATCTGGCCTGGCTTGGCTCAGCTCGGCGCGCCGCTCGCCGGGCGCCTGGGCTCGCTCTCGCTCTCGCTCCCGCTCTCTTCCCCTGCCCTCGCTCCACAGCGCGCCGCTGTTCGGCGGCTGCCTCCTCGCACGGCCGGAATGCCTAATCACCATGGTGAGAAAACGGACACCCGCGGCCGTCCTCCCTCCTCGCCTCGCGCCCTCCCTCCCATCAATTGTCATGCAGAAGTGATCCGGGCTGCCGTTTCCTCGCGGCCGCCAGCCAGCCCCTCGCCGCTCCCGGCAGAAGGGTGGCTGGTAATTGATCGTTGGGGGGAGGGGGCGCGGAGAGGCGTGAGGACCGGCCGGGGGAGGCAAGGCCACACTGTGGGCGCCTCGCTCACT